AACCAATCTTAAATTTAACAAGAAACTCAATAATCAGAAAACTCACCTTTGTTTTGCTTCACACGTACAAGGAAGAAAGAAGAAGAAGAGAACTCTGGAAGCCTTTGTGTTCTCCCCTTTTCAACCCACGTGGATTAATATATAACCCTTCTTTACTTATTTCCTTATAAATAAACCCTTTGCCCTTCCATTCCTTTTTGCTTTCAATTTAATCATATACAATAATTTACATAAATCTTTATACTATTCAATCATTCTATTTTAATCACCAAATTCTGAGACTTTACAATTTAGTCACTAACCCGGTATTGAGGATGTTATAAATCATCTGTAACACCCCTAACTCATATTCGACCCGAATACAAGTCTAAGATGTCACATTGACTTTTCAAACTTTGATTCTTAAAGTAAAATCCTGGGAATTTAAAACTTTATTAAAATAAAATACTTTAATTTACATAAAAGAGACCACTTAATACAAAATTGATCAGAGCATTCGTAATTAACCACTTATTACATACCAACACTTTATACACAACAAAATACCTACTTTGTCAATTACTTCTGATCTGATTTCTTAGTAATGTTGATGTCCGTGCCACTTCTATTCTGAATCTTCTTATTTCTTGGTACCTACGTGTAAATCACTTACACGCTAAGTCATAGACTTAGTGAGGCAATAAATGAATATGCAACAATATCTTCATGAATATGCATTCTTACCATTTCCTTCATGACATTTCAATATACATGTATCTATTACACAATAACATATATAATCATATCATGCATGTACAAAACTTACCTTATTGTACCACTTTCACTTTACTTTGTATTTCAATTGCCCATGTATATTATTGAGAATAGAGGTATGTGAGTACATTGAGGTTGTGCACTAATACTGTCACCACAGCTCGTATCAATTCCCTCATGGGGCACCGAACCTTAGTTCAATATTCGTCCCGAAGGACTATCATATATGTCTCGTAGGACCACTATATCCCGAAGGACTACGTCCCGAAGGACTATTATACCCTCGACTCTTGGCATGCTAATTACACCTATAGCTCTCATATCGTATACTATGGCATTATTCTTATATTTCATATGTTCATGTACTCATGTCATTTCTCTTGTGATCATGTAGCTCATGTCATGTTCTCATATCACATATCATATCACATGTGTATTTGAATCTATTCATGTATATATACATCATTTATCCAATCACATGAACATATATATGCCTTATGCATGTATTACAATAATTATCATGTATGAATGTTCACAAATATTGTACTATGAAAATTAATATAGGGATTAGACTTATCACAAGTCTTATTCCATTATACTATACATATAGTATGCACTCACCTTAGCTTTGCTTTGATTCGATTCTAATCCTTTGATCATTCCGGAATAAGCTTACTTTTAGTATCTACATAATCACACATGGATCTATATCAGTATTATAGCTAATATACTCTAATGGTTCACTCTTTAGATTAAGATAAATGCCAATTTCCTCTTTTAATGAAGGTATGCATCGATGCACTACTTGTGCATCGGTGCATAAAATGCATTCGATGTTTTATTATTAATAGTATGCATCGATGCATGCCTTATGCATCGATGCACTAATTACATTCGATGTTTATATTTTAAAAGATTGCATCGATGCACTACCTGTGCATCAATACACCTTCAAACAATTTCTGGGTTTTAACCTTGATGCATCGATGCACTATGAATATGCATCGATGCACTCTGCTCAAAATCCTCTTTTTGAACCCGAAAATTCATTCATTTTGGATTAAATCCTTCATGTTTAATCCCCTTTTTCATTCTTAACTACAGTACACATCCTTAAACCAATTTATACTCATTTATTTCATCTTAAACCTCCAAATCCTATCTTTCCTATGTAATTCAAGAATTACATCAATAATTCAACATGTTTAAATTCCACTTTTAACACTTCGTATATCTTAACTAGATTGATGACAAATCAAATTTAACTTTCAATTCTAGTTATGAACTCTCTTCCAAGATTTCATTTAAGAACTTCAAATCTTAAATCTCTCCTAACTCCATCATCCTTTGATGTTAAGATAACTTAAGCTTTCCTTAAGCTTAGTTATCATCTAATAATCAAAACCCAATATTAAATTTAACAAGAAACTCAATAATCAGAAATCTTACCTTTGCTTTGGTTCACACGCACAAGGAATAAATAAGAATAAGAGAACTCTGGAATCCTTGGGTGTTTTCTCCCCTTCCACCCATGTGTATCCTTATATATACATACTTATCCTTTCTTTAATTATTTTTCCTTACAATTACTCTATTGTCTTTCCATTCCTTCTTCTTTTCAATTCCATCCTACACAATAATTTGCATGTAAATCTTTATACTATTCATTCATTTTATTTTAATCACCAAATTCTGAGACTTTACAATTTAGTCACTAACCCGGTATTGAGGATGTTACATCATCAACTGAGTTTGAGGGAATGTAGGAGGTTTGAAGATGGTTTGCTTAGAATTTCTCTTCACCGGCTCGAACACCTTGGAGCTCTTGGAGAAAACAAGTAATGATCCAACCTGTAAACCTCCATTCCTATTCCCCGACAAGAATTCAAAATTTCGTGGAATCTGATGGCGTTCAAAGAGACTGATGATGTGTTGTTTTGTTGTTTCACATATGTAATTGTTTACTTAAAAAATAATATATTTTTTGTTATTGCGACATCATCAGGTTGACATGTCAGCAAACTTATCTGAGGTGGAAATTGCTGGCGTCCACATCATCATAAACTAACGGTTATGTTAGTCATCACGGTCAAAGGTATAAATTGATGCAATTAAATAACTTTAAGGGCAAAATTAATGTGAAAATACGATAGGGACGAAATTGATAAATTTGGTCCACTTGAATAATTGTGACCCTTAAGCCCATTTTAAATGTAATTATCATAAAATTTTATTTTTTATTCATCCTTGTTTTTGTGGTATTTGTTTTCAAATTAATATATTATGCTACTAATTTTTTTTATGAATTTGATTATGATATAGATATAGATTTTATGTTTTATGTTTTATTTTTAAAAGAATGTTAACAATAAATTTATTGCTATGTTTAATTTTAAAAGAAGTCATTCTCTACTATTTTTTTAAATAGAAACAGTTTTTACTATATTTGTAAAGTCAAAATACTTTTCGATGAAATAAATATTGGATTTGCTTTTAGGAGCCCAAAAATAATTGAACGAAAATTTTAGGATTCAGTTATCGTTGGCAATGAATGTTGATGACAGTTGGCAATGATGTGGCAGTGATGAGTTGCGAACAACAAGGGACTTTGATCGAATTCATAGATTAAATTGATATTTTATTTAATTTTAAGGGTCAAATTAATATTGTTATCTAAAGTTTATGAGTTAAATCAATATTTTATCTAAAATTAAAGGATTAAATTAAAATTTAATTTTTATTAACATGTCACATTATCAAACTAATAAAAATTAACGTCCGAGTGATCAAAATATCATAAATTAATGATGTAAGTGACTAACATCAAACCAATAATATTTAATGTGCTGTTGACCAAAATGTTATAAGTTAACAATGTAAGTGGCCAAAAAGTTGTAAATAGGTAACATAAATGAGTAAAATATTACTTTTTATAACTTATTACTCAAAAGTGAACACTTATAAACAAAAGTGATAATTTCAATAGTTTACCCTATTTTTAAAGAACTTTTCATGAGAGAGCCAAAGCCACTATGCAAAAGCCAAGCCTCCATTTTTCCCAAAATGAAAAAGAAGTTTCGCTCAAAAGAGGCCGCCGGCAGACTTTGAATCTTTGAATAGTTTCAAATCCTTTCAAGTAGAAAGATTTTATTTTTATTATTATTATTATAAATTATTGTAATAATATTTAAAGTTAAATTAAATTAGATTTACTGGTTCTTTAATTCGGATAATATTTTAGGTAATTGTTATCTTAATTTATAAGGCGAGAATATTTTTCATCGATGGAAAAGCATAATACTGTGCGCTAATGGAAAAATAAAATATTATGCATTAATGGCGGATATTTATTGTTTCGTTATTTAATTTTTTTCAATAATTTTTTAATGTGAATTTCCTATTTAAATCGTTTAAACTTACGAGATTAACACACATAAAAATTTCTCTTTTCTCAATCAATATTTCGGTGATATAAAAAAACTTAGTTCGTTGAACACTATAATCATGTTATTGTTTTACTCACAACGTTATTTTATCCTGGGAGATATTTTTGGCCCTCTTTACTGACATGTAAGATGTATATTAAAATCTATAATTGTGGGTACACACATATAATGAATAAAATTGTCATAAAGTATGACATAAAATAAATGACTAATCATGTTATATGAGTCATAAATATTAAAGTGTCATAGAATTAAAGTGTATGTATCATATATACCATAAATAATATTTATAATTTAATAAGGGGTAAAACTATAAATACTTAAAAGATTGACCTAATATTATGTATATATATATAAAGAGGTAGTAGTCTCCAAAAAAATATAGGTTAACTTGTATTATTCTAGCAAGAGCAAACTTATTATTTTGAAAAACCACATCCAAAAAAAAATCATAGATCTTAACCTACCTATCAATTCAGGTACGTTTTGTTATTTAACATTTTATTCTTGATAATTATTCTTGATTTTATATTAGTTAGATTTTGGTTTTACCATATTATTCTGATTTCTTGGTATAGACATCCCTATTATTCAAAAAAAAAATGGCAGCCGCAATTTAGATGACTGATTGTAGGCTGCTTTGCTTATCGGCTAAAATAAGGAACAAATAATATGTTTATATATATATACTTACAAATCCATTGCAGTAAAGAATCTGAATCCTCCAACAATGGCAAACACAATCACCTTTTTTTCAATGCAAGAAAAAGGTTTTCTTTTCTGCATTATTGTTGCTTTGGATAAGCCCCCAGTTTTCCTCTTCATAAATTACCCTTTGCTTGATTATTTCATGCTTTTAGAATAATTATACGGCAAGCTAAGAATGTGAGTAAACTGAGAGAGTCTGCAAAAGATGGGAACAAAACAGAGGGAAACAGAGACTACTAGGAAGGTTTTCAATATAAACCTAGTTTTCTTCTTTTTCTTCCTTCTACTTTCTGATTAGACAAACCATTTGAAAAGAAACAAGATAAGATACAGCAGAAGAAGAAGAAAAAACGAGAAAGGGTTTTTTATTATCATTGGGGTTTAAATATTCGTCGTCATCATGAATACATGGTATTTCTTTCGGGATAACTTTATATAAATCAACTTCAGGTTGTCCAAAGTTTCACAATTTCCTATGTTTTGTTGTTCAGCTTTTGAAGAACAAGCGAAGGAAAGACGTATAGTTGTTCAAAGAAAGGGCCCTTTTTTTTTAATACAAAAGGAAAAGGAAAAAGCTTCCATCGTTGTTGTTCAAGGATGCTTCGTTTCACATGCATTATCTTAATATGTATGTTGGGTTCCTTCTTTTCATTTGCTAGAGCTGCCTTCAATCTTAGCCTCCCTCACCAACATCCTTTCCCAGAATCTGTTGTTCATGATGTTCAAAGGTAGGCTCCTCTGATTCTACTATTTCTGGGTTTTTTTATACATTCATGATTTTGTGTTCGAAAAGAAGAAGAAAACCACAGCTTTTCGATACCCATTTTAGTGTGTTTTGATGACCCGAGGCCAATATCTCATTATTTTGTGTTGGAAAATTTCGAATTTTTTGATTGACCTACTCTTACCAAATTTAGTTAGTGAGTTTTTGTTTTTTAAAAGAACATTTTTTTAAGAGAATTTTCATATGTAAGCATGTTGCTCAATTTTCCTCCTCTGTTTCCCGGAAAACCTGCAGAACCCCCAGGAAATTTACGTGCATTTTACTGAAAACTTTCACTTTAATCTTTGTAGGAGATTAAATGTGTCCGTATCGAGAAGACAAGCCCTCTCCGTGAGCCAAAAAGATCAATGTCTAACGGGAAACCCCATCGACGATTGCTGGAGGTGCGATCCCGAATGGTACAACAACCGCCAACGCTTAGCCGACTGCTCCATCGGCTTCGGACAAGGAACCCTCGGCGGAAAAGGCGGGCGGATTTACACAGTCGTGGATTCGTCCGACAACGACGTTGCCAACCCCAAACCGGGCACTTTCCGGCACGCCGTCATCCAAGACGAACCCCTCTGGATCATCTTCTCGACCAACATGGTGATCAAACTCAAACACGAACTCATTTTCAACTCGTACAAGACGGTGGACGGCCGCGGCACGACCGTTCACGTAACCGGCAACGGGTGCATAACGTTGCAGTACGTTCAGCATGTGATCATACACAACATCCACGTCCACCATTGTAAACCCTCGGGGAACGCCGACATCGCGTCGACGCCGACGCACGTCGGCTGGAGGGGGAGATCGGACGGTGATGGGATCTCTATTTTCGGTTCGCAAAAAATCTGGATCGATCATTGCGCCCTTAGTTACTGCACCGATGGCCTTATCGATGCAATCATGGGATCCACTGGAATCACAATCAGTAACAGCTATTTTTCTCACCACAACGAAGTCATGCTTTTAGGGCATGATGACAGGTACCGTTTTTCCCCTCATTTGATCGAATATTCAAATTTCAAATTAATTAAATAAAATGTTTTTGGGTAGGCATTTGGCGGATTCGGGAATGCAGGTGACGATAGCGTTTAATCATTTCGGAGAAGCGTTGGTGCAAAGAATGCCGAGGTGCAGGCGAGGGTATATCCATGTGGTAAACAATGATTTTACTGCTTGGGAAATGTATGCCATCGGCGGTAGTGCTAACCCTACCATTAATAGTCAAGGGAATCGATATACTGCACCTGTCGACCCTAATGCTAAAGAGGTGTTCTCTTCTTCTCTTACTTCATTCTTTTTATATGTTATTCTAACTGTTCATTTTTTAAATATTTATTACGATATTGACCGTTTAAATATATCCCATCATTCTGTTTAATAATGTTAAACAAAGTAAATTCCAATTGACTAATAATGGTAAACAAAGTTATGAATTGAAGCATGGATTTGGTTTTCTTTCTTGTCTACCATTTGGAAAATATGACGAAATTTTATGATTGATTAATGATTTTGGCTCCTTACCCCTTTTTGACTTATGTTTTCTTTTTCTTTTTCTTTTTTGCAAGTGGGGGCTCATTAACGATCCCCACAATGAGAGTGATGGTGCGTGGGATGTACCTTTACTATCTATGTGTAAGGTCATTTTTAATCTAAACAATACAGAACTATTTATAGGAATATAAAATAATTAAATTTGAAAATATAGCTTTACATTCAAAGATGACTTAATGAATTTAACAATTTTTGTTTTTATCAAAATTAAAATTTTAAAAATAAAAATATCTCCTTAAATAATCTAAAGGATTAAAAGATAATATATGTTTATAATATATATCTTAACCATTGACGACATACATAAGCCACATAAACATAACTACTTGAATCTGATACCTTAAAGAAAAATAATATTCCTTTTAACCATTAAATGTTCATCTTCTACGTTTGTTATAGGCGCGTGTAGTGCAGTGTCTTGATGAGTGCGTGTTTTGTAAACAGGTGACAAAGAGAGTGGACACAGATGAGAGAGAATGGGCAGGGTGGAACTGGAGGACGGATGGGGACTTAATGGTAAATGGAGCGTATTTCGTGCCGTCGGGAGCCGGCGTAAGTGCTCAGTATGCTAAAGCTTCAAGCGTCGAGCCTAGATCCGCTGCCTACATTGATCAGCTCACTTTCAATGCCGGCGTCTTTGGCGAGGCCAGGTATGTTTCTCATCCCGAAAACCCAATATTACCCCTTTTCTCTTCTTTAGACCAATAACTGAATTACCTGTCAACGTCAATGCTTGGTATAATTCTTATTATGGGGCTTCAACTTTTTTATTAAAATTTGATAATATCCCTTGTGCTCACCCACAAAACGATTAATGAAACTAAATATTAATTTCTTATTTTTTTTGGATTTAAAATTTTAATCCTATCATCGATACCAATAGCTTTGTACGTAAGTTTTAGGGGAAATATTAGCAAAGCCAACAATTAGACTAAGTATTTTAAATCGAAAAAAGTTAAGGAATCTATATTTAAACTTTTTAAGCTTAGAGACCGTATCATAAACTTTATATAAATTTAGTCCTCATTAACGTGCCTTTGCATGGGTGTATCAATCCACCCCTTACATTCTTACTTTTTTACAATCGAAATCTATTTTAATATCCAAATATGTATAGTATACTAATATAATAAAATTCTTACTTTTTTTAACATAATCTATTTCAATATTTGAATACGTATCGTATATAAATATAATAAAATATTAATATATCTTCAGAGATGAAACTAAAGGAGTGAAAAATTCATGACCCCTTAAGATTTTTAATTTAATAATAATTCAAACTCTTCTAAATTTAAATATTACACAATTTAAACTTTATATCCCCAAATTGCAAACAAGAGATGGAGTTAAGGTTAAAATTGAAAAGGAGAGGGACCCACGAGAAAAGGGGTATTTTTTTGGGGTTTCAAGTTGGTGAAAGGGTAAGTTTATATTCTCTTTGATCTACAATCCGTGCACATCACAGAATAGCTTTATTCATAACATATAGAAGAAGAGGCTTCCTTCTCACTTAGGGGCAGAGCTTAGTGAGGGCCCAAACGGTATCGAACCTACTTAAAATTTATATATTTGATATAATTTTGATTTAATAGTATTTTAATTTATGTAAAAATAAATATTTAAATTAAAAAATATAAGAATTTATTAAATATTTAATCGAGTAAGGAACGAATTAAAGAAGGATAATCTTGTATTCTCAAAATTTTTGGCTAATAACAATTTAGGTCATTGTAAGTTTAAATATAAAACAAATTAAGTGTTATCTTGTGAAGTTTGAGTTTTTTTTTAATAAATCTAGGGTGAATACTAGGTAATGTGAACAAAGACTCTCAATTATTTGACAATGAACGCTCATACCCCTAAATGCACAGTGCTCGAACTTGAGACCTTAATGATAATAACAATCTCTTAATCACTAAGATCGTTTGATTCGTGCTGAATTTTGAATTTAAATACCTAATAAATATTTACATTTTTCTTAAATATTATAATATTTCAACATCTGTCAAATATTAGTTATGATTCTCTCTTGGTTCTCACTTATTGGGCGGGGCCCTTTCCCTTTCTTCTTCGACCCATTTTTCCCTTGGCCGCATAGACATGATATTAAATATGAAATTTCAAGAATCTTTTGAAAATAGTATGATGTGTGACCTTTTGCATGCTGGGAGTGGAATTATTTTGTACAGGGCAGAGACTGGGAGCTTTGTTTATCCCGGATCCGTCGGCAACAGCGGGTCCACCGGCACCGGCACCACTAGCGGCGGTGAAGGGTCCAGTGACGATGGCAACTACTTTGGAATGATATTCGGGAACGGCGCGCCACCAGAATCGACCCCACCACCTTTGACATCAACATTTTTGTTTCTTCTAATTATTTTAATTTTGTATTCTATTACCAACCAAGGTGCTCTACCGCCATTATTATTGTAATAGGAAATACAAAAAAGAAGAAATCAAAATTATAATTATAATTAAAGTTATAATTTTATATATGAAATGAAAGAAATTAAACATTTTATTGATTAGTTTGGTTTGGTCGCTATCTAACACAAAAAAAAAACACAAATAACATATGTTCAATTGGTGTTACCTTCCGACATACGGTTTAATTAAATTAATATTTAAATATTAAATTAAACACAATTTTCAATTAAATCGATTTAATTAATAATTATATTTTTATAAAACACCGGTAAAGTAATGAGAGGATTATGAAAATGATGTGGTTGGTCGAGGTGGGATGTTAAATTCCACATCAAATTCAGTGCATTTGGGTCCCCTTTTTTGCATCTTCCCTTGAAATTAGCCTTTTTCTTTTATTGATTTTTGATTGGATTTATCTTTGGCTGACAACAGCGTGCATCTTGACAAGGGATGTCCCATTGTGTGAAGATTTTAACACACTAAGCTTTGTAGATTTTTATTCTGACTTTTAAAATCCACTTTTCTTCGTTTGTTAGCTTTCTTATACAGTGCATGCTATGCATGAGTCTACAACAAGACTGTCTTATATCTCTAAAACAACCCCATTATAGTTATAGATCATGCAAGATAGTTGAATTTAAAAGATATGTTTGTTTTTAAATATCATACTTGAGGATGGCAATGAGTAGTTTAAATTAAAAAAAAATATTTTAAAAAGACTGACTGTAAGATATATATGTTTATAATTTTTTTTTAAAATTAATCACTAGTATCCGATCTATTGACCGATTAATCCAATTTAGGTATTGCAAAGGCGAGGGCAACCCTCCCAACCCAGTTTGCTCCATTCGCAAACACCAGGATTCAAACCCTGACATTGCTTAAGGGACTTAGTGTCTCATCCCACTAGACCAACTACCAGTTGGTCTATAAGATATACACACTTTACAAACACAGTTACTTGAATCTGCAATCTCTAAGAAAACAAGTATATATAAATCTTGAATGTATCAAAAACATATTACGTATATTTATATTGTTCTTTGCAAACATTTGGAGTTCTAAGTATCATAACCATATGATATACATGCCAACTAGTTTATCAATATTCAAAAATGTCATACTGAATATGGAGCATATTTGATTCCTCAAAAAATTGATGTTGAACCTGACTCCTGACTCCTTACTCCTTACGCTTTCTACCACCTACGCATGAAAATCATCACACACTAAGTATACACTTAGTTAGGTATTATATTACTAACAATAATAAAATAAGAATAATAATTAAAAACATGTATAGGGAAATAACATACATATAACATATAGGGAAAAACATGTATGATGAATGAGAATGCATGATACGTGAATCATATATGAGTGCGAGTAAATATGCAGTTGAAACTGCCACGTAGATAATATGCACATAAAGTGCCACGTAGAATATACAAGTACTATAAAACACAACACTGTATAAATCAGAAATATCATAATGATCAATCATCATGAGTTTTTTGAATACACAAATAGTATCGCGTAGAATTGCACATAAAGTACCATGTAGAGTTGCACTCGAAAGTGCCATGTAGAGTTGCACTCGAAAGTGTCGCATAGAATATACACGAATGTAACATGTAAGATCGATAAAAGATCACTCAAACTCTTGGCATGACAATTGTATCACTAACTCTCAATGCACATACAATGAACCTTATATTTAAATCCATATATCATTCACATGTCAAAGTTTCATAAACACAAATATATCAAAATATCATATAAAAATGTATTGGGTCGTTCATACCCGAAATATTCAAATCATTTCCATAAAATATTAAGAAATATCGTAACATAACCCATATCATTTTATTGTCATACTTTCAAGATTGGCTTATCACAAGCCAAAATATTAAAAAAAATCATTTAATAAATCATTATGAAAATATATTTATCATAATATGATTCCAAAATATTTTTTTTAAATATTTGAGGTTGACTTATCACAAGTCTTCCTCATATCATATATAAATAAGATAGAAATGCACTCACCTGATAATGCCTCACTAGAAATCCTACTATTGATATTCTTTTACTCTTAAACTTTTTCCTTTGATTTTGAATCGCTTTGAACTTGCTTTTTATCACGATCTTATGAAACTCAGGGCCACAATAGAGAAAGATGAAGAAAATTCTTGATTTTTTTCAAAATAAAAATCTAAGCTTAATTTGTCATCTTTTAATGATATAATTAATTAAAAATTCATTTATTGCAAAATGACCATTTTACCCTTGAAATCCAAGGCTTCATAACTTGCCACATTTCAATTTATTCATCCAATGGTAAAAAATAAACCAATTAGTTAGTAGTTACCAACATTGCCCTTCGAATTTTCCAAAATTTTAATTTAACCATTTTTTATCCAACGATCCAAATTGATTATAGAAAACTATCTTAAATCCAACGGTTTATATTAAATCCTACAAATAAGTCATGGAAATGACATTTTTAACCTTACTTCATCATCCTTCAAAATTTCCTGAAAATTCGATTCGATTTGAGTATTCGGATTTTTCCCCCGAACTTTATCGCTTTATAGCTTTTAATATAAAATCCGTACGAAAAATCTGACTCCCACGAAAATGTCATTCTCAGGGGTAAACTATTCATTTACGGGGCCGAATTACATAACTTTTTCAAAAATTACATTTTGATTATTAGTCAAAATTTGGGGTATTATAGAGAAAGAACCCAACACCTTATTCTTTTCATCCCTAAGGATTCCCCCAATCCCACTGCTTTTCCTGTCTCTGTTCACTGCCCCATCGACATTAACTTTAAAAAAACCAAGGGCGGAGGACTCCACAAGTCCGATGGGGAGATCGACTTCTTATACCCTTTACAAGAATCTGCCAAAGCCGGATCAACCACTAGACTGTCTAGGCGGACTGGAAATTTGGGACACTTCGCCAAAAAACCATCTTAATATGCTAAATATTGAAAAATACTAACATTATATAATTAACATAAAATGAAATGGGTAGTTTTGATAGACGGTTCTTCATCTAACAAAAACTATTGGTATTACTATAAAAATACCAATAGTTTTGATGTCGGTTTCATCGCTAAACATAAAAAATACTAATAGCATATGATTAATATAAAAAAGAAGATTAATAATTGAGGGAGCTATATGGTTATAGAACTTGTTCGATATTGCTTGTTGTACGCTTTTCCGGTAGTCAACAAACATGGTTGGCAAAAGGTGGTCTTTCACAAAGTTCTCCACAAAGGCTAGCAACCCATCATTCCTGCAATTACAGAAAATTTAGGGTACAAAAGAAAATTAATGTCAAGCTACAGCCCACTCGCAAAAGAGTTAGACCACATATTTTACAAATTCCACAGAGATCTGATAATATACAGAGAAATTTAAGGGTTTTAAATATTTTTCTCTTCCAAATCTCACTGCAAACCTTAGATAAGGGATTTGACAAAGGAAGAGCACAGTAAGAAATGGGAAATACTATTGTTCTTTTCCTAACAGCTACCATAAATAATTCTCATATCATTCACGACACTTCTTTGTAACACATACAAGCCTGGAAGGGAGAGTTACCCAAGCTGGGAATACTTTGTTGGCAGAATGGAAGCAAGTTTGTTTGTAAATTGCACACATCAGATTACAGAAGAACATTTGCAGTCTCAATGAACATGTAACAAAAATTAAGTTTCAAAAGGTGATGCTTCAGATTACTTGATTTACTGAAGCAACATAGGATTGCATGAAAGAAAGTGCAACGCCAAATTCTAAAGAAGAAGACACATGTAAATACTAAGATAATATCCTTTGAATGGTAGAAATAATAATCAACTGACCTTAGCTATTCCCTCAATCTGATCCAACAAGGAGATTATGTGACGCAATGTAACAGATCGATACCACAGCTGATGCAATTATTTATTGCGCACCCCTAGACACTGTTTAGCCTCAGTCAAGTCACCCTTTAAAACACCAATACTTTCAGAGGATTCACTGAATAACGACAAGATCTGCAGAAGAAAGGACAAATAGTAATAAAATATGAAAAAGATCAATTTCCTCTTCCAATTCCAACAAAGAAATACCAAAGAGAAATTAACACCGACATCAGAAATGGCGCCTTATGGAAGCATCGATTCATATCAGAGATAATTTGTTTTGAATGCAGATTTATTTATTTATTTTGTATGATCAGTTTGTTCAAATACATAATAGTATGGATAGTTTATATCTCCAAACTCTAACCCATCCATTATTTTATCAGGAATTAGGATTCACTACCATGAGTGTTTGATGGATGTCAGATTGATAGAGGGCTCTCTAACACAGTATGTAACCCCTCAGATCGATGCGGATAACCTGATCTAATCTGGAGTGTCACATTAGGGCCACCGGAGCGACCCACCGAAAAAAATAGCGAAAAATTTAAAACTTTTCTTAAAACATGTAAACTCATAGAATCATTTATGAGTACAAAATAAAATTTATTAGTATTCGAAATAAAACAGATCTTCAGACTCATATATAAAACAAAATACAATTACATGCTCCCTAATCACATGTACCATACTCTGCAAAAAGCATCGGAAGAACACTCTTACTGAAGTCGATAGCTGCACTGGTACAATTCTTTTAGCCTGAAAAGATGAGTAATATAGTGAGCTTCGAAAAGCTAAGTAATACAGAACTACCAGATGATGCTACATGACATGCAGATAAATGGGAAACCATAATTTCCTTATTGAATCATACGTATATCAGTGGGCGGAATAATCTGGGGTTCCCTTAGAAGTTCATCGAGTAGAAGCCATGAATCTTAGTTCATAAGAAACCTTTCATACTATCACGTTTTCATGAGGTCGAATAGGATGCCTAGTGTGTTCCATCAATACGATAAAACCATAATAGGTACACTAATCAAATGATAGTTCAGTAAAATCCCATAAACCATACTGTAGTGGAGCATTTTAAACTCGTATTTTAAAACCATCTTATAAAGAGTTAACCTAAGGGAACATCTTAGGGCCTGAGAGCCTACCCAATATAGATTTCGGGGCCGTGGGGCCTATCTAAGAACACATCTTAGGGCCGCAAGGCCTACCCGAGAATGATCTCAGGGCCGCAGAGCCTACCTAAGAGTCACATTAGGTCCATAAAAATTTTCCAGCTTGATCAGAGTTGTACTTTATATCTCCAAGATACACTTTATACAATGATACAAATCCATAAGCCATCACCGTTAAGTCGGTGCATCCATAAAACAGTAACCATAGATTTTAGTATACCACATGTTAAAACAATAAAACAATTTTTCAAAATATAAGGAACACACTAGAGAATCCAAATATTTCCAGATGCATTTTGTAGTTATCAATATGGATAACATGAACTTGTGCAATTTGATCGGATTCTAGGAATAAGATTTTATTGAAGAGAATCGATTTCTAACCGATCTAATCAGACATTTCAGATTGATACTTTAGAATTCCACTAAGTTTTCATGTGCATCAGGAAAACGTTCAGGAACCTTTATACATAATAATTCTAAATTCAGTTTACTGCTAGTGATTCCATTACCCAAACAATCAGAGGTATTCAGGAATATACTTTGAATTCATAGGATTTCAGCCCAATTGAACCAAATGAGGTATTCAGAATCTTTTCCTTCTGCGTTACTTGCATTTTCAAACGTGACCTATCTAATTTTAGATGAAAATATAGAATCGAAGATTCAAGTCATTTACAATCTATGACTATCGATCGTATTATCAAACAACTCGAGTTACACAACTCCCAAACTGATGCATGTCAACAAGTCAATTCATTATCCTTCCAGTGTATTCACTCTTTAATACCATAATACAAATCCATAGATCATCCCCATAATCATCGCTGAATAGATCTTCCAACGGTCTTTATTTTATTTCCACGTTTTAACGATATCAGGAAATACAGACGTACTTGATTCATGGTTCATAACCTATAAGGACAATTCACCATGTAAGTTCAACAGTGTTTCCAAACTTATCCAATCACCTAATTAATCATCAGTCATTGAGGTTACTTAGTTCGTTTAGTAAGCAAGTCTATCCCGGTTACTTTAGAGTTTTCCAGAATAATTCAGACGTTTATGAATTTCAAATACATGTTGTACTTCCTTTCAGTTCAATTTAGTCATATAATAAAGTCATTCTGGTATTCGTGGTTGATTTATCTCACGAATACCCACTTATTAGTACTATATGCACTCTAGAGTTGAGCTAAGCCAAGTACTTCTAGAATTATCATCGATCCAAATTTGAGAAGGCGAACAAACATTCAAGTGATATCTATATCATTCATGTAATGATATAGCACTAGCGTTGGTTGATCACTTAAGTTGTGTTCCATAACTTTTACTGGTAGCACAATATCCATGTTTATTTGGATTTCTTAATTAATCCAAGATATTTACTTATTCTAGGTTATAAGGGTATTTTGGTCATTTTGGTGCTCAGTTTTATTCCATTCATTTTAGAGCTCAAGGGTATCCAATCATTCATGAGCTTGGTGAAATTCTTGGTCATTTGCATTCTAGGGATATTCTGTTCATTATACAGATACATGTATTACAATCATTTCCTTCCGTCCGATCTTATTATCGAATTCAAACTTATCATTTATTTCAGTCATTTCGAACAATTCCGAAAAAATATCACCATCGATAAATTATTATTTTTCATGAACTTACTCAAGTCGGAGATTTCTAGGTTAAATGCCTTTTCTGATGATACTAACGGATTATCAGAAATTTTCCATACAAAAATAAGATCTCAACAATCAAATCAGTAATTTATCGGTTTAAAAACAAGTTCTCATGTTACTTCCTCCTTCAGAGTCAACTTGGATTATTTTTACCTCTCAAGGGCATTTTCATAATTTCTTAACCAGATAATTTCGGTATTAACTCTTAACGAAAATAATTATACTTTAGAAATCCAATGGTTAATTGCTTTCCCGAGCATTCTTTGATCTCGAAATGATTCCTTAACAGACTTATAGTATTTTGCACAAACTCTTTTGGGGTTAAAAACCAGTTATCCAAATTTTCTAAGCAAAACTAACATTTCTTTTGCACATCTGTAATTTTATCGGATCAATATGTCTTTTCAGAGTTATTAACCAACTTCCAAGAACAATTATTGTCATCTTACAACATAAGGATATTTTTGTAATTTTACCCTACCGAAGTATTCTCATAATTTCCCATCCAAGTACCTTTAACATTTAACCTTTGATTATAAGCTACAAATCCATGATAATACCTTTATCACTAATCACAGAACTCATAATTTAATTCTAGCATTCCATCCATTTCTTATATCAGTCATCTAAGCCATATTCATTTACCGAATTTTTATTGTATTCGAATCATGTGTAAAACTTCATTAATTACACATATGAGACCAAACATTTCCATTCATGCATTTACCAATACCAATATGTTTCATAAAGCATGAAAAGGTAGTAATGTATTACCTCAATTTCCGTGCAATATTGATCGACCGTAAAAATTCCATTTGAACGCCTTTGATCTTTAATTCAACTTCTAATAATTCCTCAGATACATATCAACATAAATTATATAAAAAACGGAGCTTAATTGAGATAAACGGATCGAATCGGATGATAAATCAGTTAAAACCAACTTACCGATTTTGAATTTGGCGAAACGGACTTCGGATTCGGATTCAGGATGTCGAAAGCATAAAATATGACTTTTCAAAAATTTGGAATTTTCGATCAAAGTCAAAGTCAACGGATTTGACTGGAAATTTCGAGTCCTTCGGGTCTGAATTACGAAAAATGGACTACGAAATTGGATTTGGAACGTTGAAAAATATCATGATAGGTATACTCGGTCGAAGTCAAAGGTCGTTTAGTGCCCGGTCAAAGCCAGTCGAAGTTTTGGTCAACTGTGGTCAACGGGTCGGGTCGGGTTATAACCGGTCAAACCGGCCAAAACATGAGCAAAATCGGTCAAACCGATCATTTTTTTCTTCCCCACACGCAGTGGCGGCGCGTGAACAGTACCCTGATGTCAGAAAATTCCCGAAAAAATTCCTAAAAATTATTTTAAGTGATTTCGAGATACTTACAAAGCTCGGTTCAAATTTTTGAACGGCGGAGAGCTCGATTTCAACGAATCGGAAACTTTGACCGCTTCACCTCCTCACGCTCAGCCGTCGACGGAGACCAAGGATGACACCAGTGGACTCGGAACGATGCAAGGAACACGATGGTGCGGGAGGTGTCGTAAACGGATAACCCGATCATCGTGAATCGATGAAAAACCAACTAAAGTCGAGTTATTTCCGACGATACTTTCGACTGAAATTAACGACGAACGGTGACGATTCATGATGAAAGGTTTGAGAGGTTTTGTTCTTTGGTCGACAACGAACATGATGGTGGTTTCGGTTCGTCGATCGGTGGTCGAACGGCGAGTAGATCGGAGTTGAAAGAGGGGTTTGACGGGAGAGAAAAAACTGAAATTTTTTTCCAGAAACATACGGGAATGAGGGGTTTATATCATCTCATAAATAAAAATGGTTAAATCAAGAATTTAGCCACTGAACTTCCTGCACTTCATAAAACGATCTGCCAACTTTAAAATTTTACAATTTAACCAACTGTTTCTTTCAAAATACCAATTAAATCCACCACTTTATAATTTTTTAATTTTAGCACCTAAATTGGGGTGTTACAATTCTCCCCTCCTTAAAAGAATTTCATCATTGAAATCCATTCATGTCACATAATTGCATAAATAAAACTTCCATCAGTTCTTTCAAATCTTTCAGTAGCTTTTACAAAAGTACGATTCCTCGACTTATCCTTAACTAGCTGAGCATACATTCTTATCATAAATTTTCCTTATTTCAATAAAAGAATCCGAAAAAAAATTTCCTTGAGTAATCAATTCAGTCTTTGTTATGAGAATAGGCTCATAGAGCAGTAGCATATCCCA